GAAGCAGAAAGATCACGCCGCCTCCACGATTCGGGACGATTGGCTGCCGTTCGTGGAGAAGCAAGCGGAGTGTGTGGTGAAGCGGATGAGGACAGATCGGGGTGGTGAGTTCTTTGGAGCTGAAATGACGGCCCTGCTCAAGAAGCAGGGCATCCAGAGGGAGCTGATTACGGCTTACACCCCACAGTCCAACGGTGTAGCAGAACGGGCGAACCGGACAATTCTGGAGACAGCTAGGGCGCTGCTCATAGAATCTGGGCTGGCCAACTTGATGTGGCCCCATGCTGTTCGGCACGCTACCGTCGCTAGGAACAGGGTACTCACAAAGGTTGGGGATGACTCGTGGGTGCCGTTAGAGAGGTGGCTTGGGAGGAAGCCGCCGGTGGACATGCTGAGGGTGGTCGGTTGCATGGCAGTCGCCCACGTCCCCAAGACCTACCGCAGTAAGTTGGGGGCGAGTGCAATCTGGTGTGTGCATTTGGGGCTGGCTGCTGAGAGCAAGGGATGGCTGCTGTGGGAACCTTCCAAAGGTGTGTTGTTTGACAGCAGGGATGTGAAGTTTGTTGAGGGCATGATGTATGGGAGCTGGGAGAAACAGCCGGAGGCCAGGGTGTCCCAGCAGATGGAGCAGATCACCATGCAGCTGGACCTGACTCCTAGTGTGTGGGGGGAGGGAGAGGAGGCAGCTGCAGAAGGTGGTGCTGCAGAGAAGGTACAGGAGGCACCTGCCGGTGAAAACAATGGTGTGGAGACTAGCGGTAGCACTAGTGGAGCTGCTGGATCCGAGTGAGGAGAGCAGCAGCAGGGGAAAACTAAGAAGCCGAAGGGTGTTGTTATGAAGGGATGGGAGACACCCGTCTCCAGGCCAGGACGTACCCGTATGGCTACTAAGAAGCTGATTGCAGGAGCTGATGTAGCGGAGCAGCAGCTTGGGACAGAGGAGGCATTGCTGATTCTACCGTATGGCTATGACCCGGATGAGGAGGATGAGCCTGCGTACTGTTTTCTTGCCCCTGCACCAGAGGAACCAGCTAGCATGGAGGAGGCATTAGCTGGACCAGATAGGGACAAATGGCTGGCTTCTAGGGATGCTGAGTACCAGAGCCTGCTGGAGAATGAGACTTGGGAACTAGTGGTGCTGCCTGGGGGAAAGAAAGCGGTACAATGCAAGTGGGTGCTAAGGATCAAGACTGACGAAACGGGGCAGGTCACCATCTACAAGAGTAGGTTCGTGGCTAAGGGGTTTATGCAGAAGGAGAAGCGGGACTTCAATTAGATCTTTACTCCCACTGCCAAAACCCCTACCTTTCGTGTCTTGTTGGTGTTGGGTGCAAATTCACATTGCACGACATCCTGCCGTCTGTTTGTACGAGTATGCGTGTGCGAATGCATTTGGGTGTGAATGGAATGTTTGGTGTGTTTGTTTGCTTTCGCAATTTTCGCTTGAAGCATTTGCAGGTACTCGTGCTTTATGCGCTTTGGCACAACATTGCATGCGCTATGAACAGTACAAGCAGAAAGGACGAGCTCGCAAAGGAACCTTAGATGGAAGCTTTGCGGTTCGGTTGAATTGATTGTGCATATTCAGTTCTATCCAACTCAAAATTGTACTGTTTTGCTTGGTTGACTATAGTGTAGCAGGGCAGGCACTATAGGGGTACAATTTAGGTGAAGGTTGGATGTTGTTTGTCTGTATCTGGATGCTACAGAGCCAGGGGAAACCAGCGGAACCAGCTTTTGGCTGGTTGGGCAAAGACGAAACAGGTTCTGTTTTTAGGACCTGAACCTGGTTGTTGTTTTCCCAGGTTGGAAAAACAGAACCAGAGGTTGTTTACCAACCTACCACCTGCTGTTTTGTCCAGCCAGGTTGGTCCTGTTGCTTGGAATTATTTGGGATGATCCCTGGTTGTTCCCAGGTTCATTCCCAAGGTCCTTGTTAGCTAGATTTATTTATTCCTTCTCTGTTTGTACCTGAATATAGTGAAATTGATTCAAGCGAATTCCTTCCTTGCTGGAATTTCCTTTCTACGCGGTGCGACGGCGGAATGCTACCCGAGTCAACGCTAGTACGCTAGCACTCCAACGCTAGGCAAACGCTGTCCGAGCCATAACTTCGTAATGGCAGAACTTTTCGCGAGGCAACTTGGTTCATTTTAAAGCTCTTGGAGAGAGCTTCGATATAGGAAATTCTCAGCTTAGTCCGATCGATATTCTGCACGATACGCTACGCGACGTTCAAGGTACTCTTGCTGTTTTGACTAAGTCCCTCTTGATCCCTCTCTCTACAAACTCGGCCCCGAGGATAGGGCCAGGTCTTGTACCAGGCACCCAAGGACCCTTGGAGGTGACCCCGAGGAGAGGTTTTAAGTTTGATAAAGTCTTAATAGCTTGAGTTTATTAGGCCGTTATACCAACACTATAGAGGTACAATTTAGGTGAAGGTTGGATGTTGTTTGTCTGTATCTGCATGCTACAGGGCCAGGGGAAACCAGCGGAACCAGCATTTGGCTGGTTGGGCAAAGACAAAACAGGTTCTGTTTTTAGGACTTGAACCTGGTTGTTGTTTTCCCAGGTTGGAAAAACAGAACCAGAGGTTGTTCACCAACCTATCACCTGCTATTTTGTCCAGCCAGGTTGGTTCTGTTGCTTGGAATTTTTTGGGATCATCCTTGGTTGTTCCCAGGTTGATTCCCAAGGTCCTTGCTAGCTAGAGCTATTTATTCCTTCTCTGTTTGGACCTGAATATAGTGAAATTGATTCAAGCGAATTCCTTCCTTGCTGGAATTTCCCTTCTACGCGGTGCGACGGCGGAATGCTACCTGAGTCAACGCTAGTACGCTAGCACTCCAACGCTAGGCAAACGCTGTTCGAGCCATAACTTTGTAATGGCAGAACATTTCGCGAGGCAACTTGGTTCATTTTAAAGCTCTTGGAGTGAGCTTCGACATTGAAAATTCACAGCTTAATCCGGTCGGCGGTCTGCACGATACGCTGCGCGACGTTCAAGGTACTCTTGTTATTCTGACTAGGTCATTCTTGATCCCTCTCTCTACAATCTCGGACCCGAGGATAGGGTCTGGTCTTGTACCAGGCACCCAAGGACCCTTCGAGGTGACCCCGAGGAGAGGATTTAAGTTTGATAAAGTCTTAATAGCTTGAGTTTATAAGGCCCTTACACCAAAACTTTGGCCTGCAGATCACCGGGGACAGGGCAGCTCGCACCATTATGGTGACTCAGTCGCATATGGTCGAGCAGATTCTCACGCGGTTTCACTTCTCTTTCTCCAAAGTACAGCTCACCCCTCTTGGGCTCACGACTCCACTTTTGGATGTGTCATTTGAGTAAAGTAGTCCATATCCTGAGCTGGTGGGTTGTCTCATGTACCTGATGATCTGTACTCGCCCAGACCTAGCTTCCCCTCTTAGCGTCCTTGCGCATATTGTTGTGCCTGGGAGGCACCATGCGTCTCACATGTACGTTGCTAAAAGGGTGGTGAAGTATGTGGCGAGTACATCAGGCATGGGGCTTGTCGTGGGCCGACGATGAAGAGATGCGTCGGTCTACACAGGGGTACTCCTTTAGCCTCGGGACAGGTGCTGTTTCGTGGCGGTCGGCTTGGGCGTCGTCCGTCTACGGTTCCAGCTATAAGGCAGAGGTGTACGCTGCGGCCATGGCCGCTGAGGAGCTTCTCTAGCTGTCTTTCCTCCTCACCAACCTTGGTGAGCGGCCTCGCTCTCCCCCAGTCTTGTTCGCTGACAATAGGTATGCTGTCCTGTTGTATGAGGAGCACCGACTGGTTGGGAAGGCGAATTCAGCTTTGTTACTTCCTTCTGCGTAAGTTGCAGTAGCGTAGCCAGGCACTCGTACGACGTTTGGTCTCCAAGGCCAACACTGCAGATATCTTCACCAAGGCGTTGCTGCCTTGTGACCACCAGAGCTTCTGCTCCCAGCTTGGCCTTCTGCCTGCTCGTCCTCACTTGCTTACATAGAGATGCTTTGTCATGCTTGCCTTGTACTCTTTCATCTCATAATATTTGCTATATGCCTGCATATTAACTGGCCTTGTGGCACTTTGCTTGCTCTCGGAGTGTGTGGTGACTTTGAGCTCCACCCTGAGATTCGTCTTGTTCTTGTGGACTGGTTTTGTGACCCTTGCGTGTTCTTGCTGACTGGTCATGTGACCATTGCTTGCTCTCAGACTGTGAGTGTCCTTGAAACCCTGAGCTTTGTGTTGCTTTCCACAGAAATTCCGTCACTTAGACTATGGGGGTGTGTCTATCTATATTTCTATGTAGTATGTTTTGTTTTAGTGTAGGTGTTGTACATTCTGTTTCTTGTGCTAAAACTATTGCTAGGGTTTGTTATAACTTGTTTGTACCTTCATTCCTTTAGACTTTCAACAGGCAAGGAAGGACACCTTGGACGTGGGGCTCATGACCGAGCTATGGGCTTTGAAGAAAGTGAAGCCTTCAGGAGTGTTGGTGCTGAAAGCCAAGAATGGTCTGCAGTAATATGATTACGTGACTAATATAGCCCGCGCCACATGAAGCAAGATCAAGGAGGTTCCTAAAGACCATCAGGAGGAGCCGAGCAGGTCCTAGAAGGGGGCAAGTGGGTAATACAAATGGCATAAAAAAAGGGATGTGACCAGAAGAGGGGATTGATCTGCAAAGAGGAGGAGGAATAATGGCAGGGAATGAAGTAAGAGTATAGTGAAGAGGCGAAAGAGGAGCCCAAGGGAAGGCCTGAAGAACAGACGGGAGACATGGAGCAGGGAAGGAGCCTATGGCATCCAACAGCTGTCACACGTAATACAAGTAACAGTTGGATTACGTGCAGCAGGGAGATGATGTACCATGATGCGCACAAGAGAGCAGCGAAGACTCAATAAAGAGGACTGGGCGCGAAGTTGGGAGGCCAACTGGAGACACCTGGAGCGGCGAGCAATAACTCAGACAGGAAAGACAGTAGGGCATGCACTCGAAACGCAAGCACAGTGATGGGAGCCGATGTGAAAGGGTTTTCGTCTCACCAGGGACAAGGAGCGGCAGGCAGAATGCTTTGTCGGACTTATATGGTCGAGCCTGTGTAGGCTGTAGTGGGTTAGATACTAAGGGGTACACAATTCCAGGGTTTCATATTTGTATCACACTCATTCCTTAGTCATTCATTCTCGTTCATTCTCACATGATATCAGAGCAGGTTCCCTAGTAAGAACGCTTCCTAGGGCCCACCGCTGAAATTCGGAAAAAAAAAAATTCCCGCCCGGAGTGCGAGTCCCGAGGCGCGCCCCGTGGGCCGTCCTCCCGTCGAGTCGCGTCCCCTTAGCGGCCCCGTTGCCGTCCTTAGCGGCCCCGTTGCCGCCCTCAGCGGCCCCATAGCCGCCTGCAGCGGCCCCGTCGCCGCCCTCAGCGGCCCCGTCGCCGCCCGCAGCGGCCCCGACGCTGCCCTCAACGGCCCCGACGCCGCCCGCAGCGGCCCCGTCGCCGCCCGTAGCCGCCCCGTCGCCGCCTCTCACGGCCCCGTCGCCGTCCACAGCGGCCCCGTCGCCGCCCTTGCGGCCCCGTCGCCGCCCTCAGCGGCCCCTTCGCCGCCCGCAGCGACCCCGTCGCCGCCCTTAGCGGCCCCGTCGCCGCCCCTCTCACGGCCCCGTCGCCGTCCACCGCGGCCCCGTCGCCGCCCTCAACGGCCACGTCACCGTCCAGAGCGGCCCCGTCGCCGCCCTTGCGGCCCTGTAGCCGCCCTTGTGGCCCCGTCGCCGCCCTTGCGGCCCCGTCCCCCCCCTCTCGCGGCCCCGTCGCCGCCCTCTCGCGGCCCCGTCGCCACCCTCTCGCGGCCCCGTCGCCGCCCTCTCGCGGCCCCGTCGCCGCCCTCTCGCGGCCCCGTCGCCGCCCTCTCGCGGCCCTCTTGCCGCCCTCTTGCGGCCGCCGACGAGCCGCCGAGCTGCCGAGCCGCCGAGCCGCAGCAGCCGCTGCCACCACCGAGCCGCCGCCGCCGAGCCGCTGAGCCACCGCGAAGCCAAGCCGCCGAGCGGCTGCTGCCCTCGAGTTGCCGCCGCGGTCAAGCCGCGGCCACAACTGCCGCTGCAGCCTTACCCAACGGTCTGGTAAGAGTACTTTTGCGCAGCACCTCTGCTACTGCGCCACATCTAGCCTGCTGCTCTCACCGCTAGGCTGCTGCTGTCATGGCTACCCTCAGTGTCCTTACCTTTGATGCTGAGGGTCGAGCAGTTGACTTTGAGGTCTGGGTCGATGACCTGCAGCTTTTCCTACAGTGCTAAAGGGGAGACGGTCTCTCCCTGTTCGATCTCACGTCTGGTGCCTCCCCTGGCCCGCCTGTTGATGCTGACAGCACTGTTCGCTCACAGTGGGCCACACGCGATGCTGCTGCCCGTCTTGCTGTGCGCCGTCACTTACCAACCGCTGAGCGTGCGCACTTTGGTCTGTTTGTATGAGTATGAGTATGCGAATGCATTTGGGTATGAATGGAATGTTCGTATGTTTATTTGCTTTCGCAATTTTCGCTTGAAGCATTTGCAGGTACTCGCCCATTGTGCGCTTCGGCACAACATTGTACGCGCTATGAATAGTACAAGCAGAAAGGACGAGCTCGCAAAGGAACCCAAGATGGAAGCTTTGCGGTTCGGTTGAATTGATTGCGCAGATTCAGTTCTATCCAACTCGAAATTGTACTGTTTTGCTTGGTTGACTATAGTGTAGCAGGGCAGGCACTACAGGGGTACAATTTAGGTGAAGGTTGGATGTTGTTTGTCTGTATCTGCATGCTACAGGGCCAGGGGAAACCAGCGGAACCAGCTTTTGGCTGGTGGGGCAAAGGCGAAACAGGTTCTGTTTTTAGGACCTGAACCTGGTAGTTGTTTTCCCAGGTTGGAAAAACAGAACCAGAGGTTGTTTACCAACCTACCACCTGCTGTTTTGTCCAGCCAGGTTGGTTCTGTTGCTTGGAATTATTTGGGATGATCCCTGGTTGTTCCCAGGTTCATTCCCAAGGTCCTTGCTAGCTAGAACTATTTATTCCTTCTCTGTTTGTACCTGAATATAGTCCATTTGATTCAAGCGAATTCCCTCCTTCCTGGAATTTTGTTTCTACGCGGTGCGACGGCGGAATGCTACCAGAGTCAACGCTAGTACGCTAGCACTCCAACGCTAGGCAAACGCTGTCCGAGCCATAACTTCGTAATGGCAAAACTTTTCGCGAGGCAACTTGGTTCATTTTAAAGCTCTTGGAGAGAGCTTCGATATAGGAAATTCTCAGCTTAATCCGATCGACGTTCTGCACGATACGCTGCGCGATGTTCAAGGTACTCTTGCTGTTTTGACTAAGTCCCTCTTGATCCCTCTCTCTACAAACTCGGACCCGAGGATAGGGGCTGGTCTTGTACCAGGCACCCAAGGACCCTTGGAGGTGACCCCGAGGAGAGGTTTTAAGTTTGATAAAGTCTTAATAGCTTGAGTTTATTAGGCCCTTACACCAACAAGCTGGTATCAGAGCTGCGTTATAGTGATCCTCGTTATAGGTAGCTATGGCGGGCAACACCTCGGCGGTAGCTGGTGAATCTTCAGCCCAAGATCGTAGCGGCAGCCAAGATTCTGGTGTTTCTGCGCCAAGGGGAGCGCGAACAAGCCAGGGCTCGCTGATCAAGGAGGTGCTGAAAAACTTCACCGTCGAGAAGTTCAATGGTAAGGGCTATGATGATTGGGCCTGGAAAATGCAACTTTATTTCCGTCAGATCGGTTTGCTGAAACTAATGATTGGGGAGGAGCCTAGACCGAGTGACCCCGCCCTTCAGGAAGATTGGGACGAGCGCGCCTCGGCTGGCTACTACTTGATGTCGCAGAGTTTGGAGCTGAACCAGCGACACCACGTCATGCACTTGCTGCCGGAGGTTGAGTGCGGTCAAAAGGCGTGGACGCTGTTGAAGGAGCTGCACGCCCCTACCTCCGTCGCTGCGACGCTCATGATGGAGAGGGAGCTGTCCGCGTTGCGCCTAAGCGAGGGAGAGCCGGTGCAACCCATCCTGGACAAGATGCGTGATCTCTACGCGAAGCTGGCGATCGCGGGAATCACCTACCCGGAGCAGACCAAGTGCCTGAAGATGCTCTCGCTGCTGCCGGAATCGTGGCTTCAATTTACGAGCGGATTGAGCTTGCCGCAGAACCAGAGCTTGTGGACGCTCGAGTGGGTGCGGACGAAGATTCTGGAGGAGGACTTCCGTCGCCGCCAACTGAGGGGTGGAGACGACGGCAGCAGTGCCTACGGGATGCAAGGGAGCCGACGTGGCAAAGGACGTGGCTTCGGTGGTGCTGGACGCGGTGCAAAGAAGGACGACGACTCCAAGGACCAACAAGGAGGTACCGGTTGGGGTCGCGGTGCGAAATCTGGACGTGGGGGCAAGTCGGGTGCTGGTGGCAAAATGAAAGGGAGTTGCTGGTATTGTGAGAAGGAAGGGCACTCCTTGTTTTTGTGCTATGAGAAACCCGATGGATGGACCCCCCAGAATCATCACCAGGATGGGGGCGCGCGGAGGAACCAGAAAAACGGCGCCAACATGGTCGCTGATTCGTCCGACAACAACCCGAAGGGCAACGGCGGTGCGGAGAAGAAGAAGGAGCGCACCGCGGGCCAATTCTTCCATGTGGGAGACAAGGGGGAGCAAGGAGACGCATCTGCCAAGGTTGGAGCAGAGCTGCACCCCCTGGATTATTGGGTGTTGGACACGGGTGCTGCTTGGACGATGACGCCGCGCAAGGACCTGCTGGACCACGTACGAGCTGCACCGATCAACGAGGTGTGCTCCGCCTCTGGACACGCGCTGAAGGTGGCTGGTGCGGGACGAGCTGCGTTTAAGGGAGCGGATGGCAAGCCGGTGGTGCTGCACGACGTTCTCCTCGTTCCTGAACTCAAGGCCAACCTCATCTCCCTCCGTAAGCTTGGCAAGTCTAGGGTGAGCACTAGTACGGATGGGGCACGCACTTACAAGGGGCAGCTGGGCAATCGGGTGCTTTGGGATCTGCACGAGAGTACGGACGTGTACAGATCTATGTGGCAGCTGCCGGCGCTGGCGTGGCACGGTGGGGGGCAGGCTGGAGAGGGGTCTGCATCCCAGGGGGAGTGCAACGCCGTTGGAGGGGTTGGTGTGAAAGTGTCGGCCAGATCTGGGGAGACGGATTGGGCAATGGCACACCGACGCTTGGGGCATGTGGCAATGCCCTTGTTGAAGCAGTTGGAGAAAGATGGAGCCGTTAAGGGTCTGAAGCTGAACGGACAGCCACCCGATGAGAATTGTGAAATCTGTTTGCTCTCAAAGTTTACCCGTTTCCCCTTCCATAGTGTGGCTGGCAGGAGCAAAAAGCCATTGGAGCTGGTCCACATGGACTTGGTGGGGCCGCTGCCGGTGCGAGGGCACAAGGGGGAGCGGTACTTCCTAACCATAGTGGATGACTGGAGCAGGCTAATGTGGGCGTATCCGCTGAAGCAGAAAGATCACGCCGCCTCCACGATTCGGGACGATTGGCTGCCGTTTGTGGAGAAGCAAGCGGAGTGTGTGGTGAATCGGATTAGGACAGATCGGGGTGGTGAGTTCCTTGGAGCTGAGATGACGGCCTGGCTCAAGAAGCAGGGCATTCAGAGGGAGCTGACCACGGCTTACACCCCACAGTCCGACGGTGTAGCAGAACGAGCGAACCGGACAATTCTGGAGACAGCTAGGGCGCTGCTCAAAGAATCTGGGCTGGGCAATTTGATGTGGCCCCATTCTGTTCGGCACGCTACCGTCGCTAGGAACAGGGTACTCACAAAGGTTGGGGATGACTCGTGGGTGCCGTTAGAAAGGTGGCTTGGGAGGAAGCCGTCGGTGGACATGCTGAGGGTGTTCCGTTGCATGGCAGTCGCCCACGTCCCCAAGACCTACCGCAGTAAGTTGGGGGCGAGTGCAATCTGGTGTGTGCATTTGGGGCTGGCTGCTGAGAGCAAGGGATGGCTGCTGTGGGAGCCTTCCAAGGGTGTGTTGTTTGACAGCAGGGATGTGAAGTTTGTTGAGGGCATCATGTATGGGAGCTGGGAGAAACAGTCGGAGGCCAGGGTGTCCCAGCAGATGGAGCAGATCACCATGCAGCTGAGCCTGACTCCTAGTGTGTGGGAGGAGGGAGAGGAGGCAGCTGCAGAAGGTGGTGCTGGAGAGAATGTGCAGGAGGCACCTGCCGGTGAAAACAATGGTGTGGAGACTAGCGGTAGCACTAGTGGAGCTGCTGGATCCGAGGGAGGAGAACAGCAGTAGGGGAAAACTAAGAAGCCGAAGGTTGTTGTTATGAGGGGATGGGAGAGACCCATCTCCAGGCCAGGACGTACCCGTATGGCTACTAAGAAGCTGACTGCAGGAGCTGATGTAGCGGAGCAGCAGCTTGGGATCGAGGAGGCATTGCTGATTCTACCGCATGGCTATGACCCGGATGAGGAGGATGAGCATGCCTACTGTTTTCTTGCCCCTGCACCAGAGGAACCAGCTAGCATGGAGGAGGCATTAGCTGGACCAGATAGGGACAAATGGCTGGCTTCTAGGGATGCTTAGTACCAGAGCCTGCTGGAGAATGGGACTTGGAAACTAGTGGTGCTGCCTGAGGGAAAGAAAGCGGTACAATGCAAGTGGGTGCTAAGGATCAAGACTGACGACAAGGGTCAGGTCACCATCTACAAGAGTAGGTTGGTGGCTAAGGGGTTTATGCAGAAGGAGAAGCGAGACTTCAATGAGATCTTTGCTCCTACTGCCAAAACCCCTACCCTTCGTGTCTTGTTGGCAGATGCAGCCGTTGGCAGATCAGGATGGACATATCAACGGCATTCCTTAACGGGATCTTAGAGGAGGAGGTGTTCATGACGCAGCCGCCTGGGTATGAGGATGGTACGGGCAGGGTGTGCAAGCTGAAAAAGTCCATCTACGGCTTGAAGCAGGCGCCACGCTGCTGGTACCAGAAGCTGGCAGCTGTTTTAGAGGAGATGGGATTCAGGACCAGCAGCTGTGATGAGAGCCTCTTTCTCAAGGGGGAGGGGTGTTGGGTGCAAATTCACATTGCACGACATCCTGCCGTCTGTTTGTACGAGTATGCGTGTGCGAATGCATTTGCGTGTGAATGGTATGTTTGTGTGTTTGTTTGC